ACATATATGAAATTGCCTTACATATGATACAAGAGGCACATATACACACACAGCTGAGGAGATATTCTATTTTCACCCCTGTCTAAAATATCAGAGTTCTACATTTTAAGTACAGTATATGTTTCAAAAATTTCTTTTTGTTCTGTTTTTACTTCTTTTACAATATATATTATCATAATGCAACACAAATAATTTTTGCTACTTTAGGAATTACAGGGAAATCTTCTAATGGGATAGTCCAAGGTAAAAATATATCACCACTCATACTGAAAATTTCGTAAGATCCATCATGCAACCTACATGTAAAAGAGATTGTATTTTTTAAGTGATAAAGACACTTCAAACAACACTAAGCTTACTCATATGCAGTACAATAACAACAGAGTTAAATAGATAATTCTATATACAATTTTGCTAGATAAGTATAACGATGAATGTTATAAAACCTCAAAAGAACAATAATGAATTATTTTTATGAGAAATCCAAAAATGGATATATGCAATATTAAACATGCTGCCATTTACTCATTTGGAAAATAGAAAAGCTGGTACTATATTTGATCATTTAAAGACAACTTAATAGTAAAACATTACCTTCTAATAAATTTAGTTGCCTAGCTAAATATTATTTAATAAGGAAGCCATATACCCAGTATTGGAGGGAGATTTAAAAGAGGCTGTTGTTTTCTAAATGTCACTTTTTGTATCATTTCTAATCACCTTTTATATAAAAAAATAAAGTTCCATGATAGAAGAAAAGGTATGTTTTAAAATGTCCAACGATTAATGACCCCTGTTCTAGTCCACATATACATCCCCCCACATAGTGCCTACCTAAGGCACTTGACTGCTCACCAGAAGGCTGGTGGTTCAAACCCACCAGCCACTCCTCGGAAGGAAGGTTGGGCAATCCCACTTCCGTAGTGATACTGCCTCGGAAACCCAAGGAGGGGTCGCTATGAGTCGGGGCCGACTCGATGGCAAACAACAACAACAACCACCCCCGCCCAAGCTCCTTCCCTCTCACACCTCTGAAAATCAACTCAGAACCTCGTGAATAAAACATGGGTGAGAGTATATGGGAAAACTGGAAAAAGCCAGCAAGGCTAGAGATATTACATAATAAATTAGAGTGGAGCTACAAGGGGATTAAATGAAAAGATATGAGAGCCTTCAGTGCCCAATTGGGAGGGACTAAGGACTTTGTTAGGAGCTCTGGTAGCATAGTGCCTAAGGCACTTGACTGCTAACCAGAAGGCTGGCGGTTCAAACCCACCAGCCACTTCTCGGAAGGAAGGTTGGGCAATCTACTTCCGTAGATACTGATACTGCCTCAGAAACTCAAGGAGGGGTCGCTGTGTGTCCGAGTCCACTGGATAACAACAACAAGGACTTTTTTAACAGTGAAGAGGGGCACATCTCACACTTGGTAGGCATCTGAAGTACATTAGAGTGATTGGAGAGTGTGACAAACAGGAAAAAAGAATTTCAAAAACAGTGAAACCTTTGCTGTTAAGACTAACGGCCCAAATGAACAAACAGCATCTTCGAACTTGAGACCAGGAGAACTAGATAGTGCTTAGCCACTACTACTGACCACTCTGACCAGGACCACAATAGAAGGTCCTGGTTAGAATTGGTAAAATATATTAAACAAAATTAAAAAAAAAAAAAAAAAAGCAGTCTTACTGGTCTGAAAGAGATGGAGGAACCTCCAGGGGTATTGCCCTAAGGCAATTTTCCTACTTGAAACTGAACACATTCTTTGAAGCCACCTTTCAACTGATTATAGACAGGCTTACACAATAAACAGTAACACCCAACCAAAGGTGAGAAGTCATAAAGGTACAGGAAACTACACAAATGGAAACTGGGAACCAAGGGAGGAAAAGAGGAGAATGCAGAACACTGTGCGCCTAATGTAATGTAATAATCTCTGTATAAATTATTGATTAGGAAACTAATTTTCTATGTAAACTTTCACCTAAAACACAATAAAATATTTTTTAAAAATCTTTTGTTATTTTGTATTCTGTAGCATAGTTCCCTTGCATTTAACACTATGCATAAAGAAGGGACATGAGGCAGGTGAGTTTTATATAGGTTACACAAAGACATCATCTATGTTGCACACTTTTTTCTGTAACAAGAAATAGATAATACAGAGGAAATTGAAAATATCCACTAGAAGAGGAGCAACCACTGTAAGCTATGCTAATTTATATATATATATATATATATATAGCAAAATATATATATATATATATAAATAAAAACTTTTGCAAAATTTTCATTCTAAAATCCCTACAATAGTCTGGCCTAGGAATATGTCACTTATTACATTAAATCTACAAAAAAAATCATATATTACATACTTCAGAATTTTATATAAGTAGGTGGAGTATAACTTAAATATTCATTTGATTTCAGAATTTTATATTTAAGCAATCCAGTAGTAAAGGAATGCTATCAGCCACAGTTCAGGGAAACATTACTTGTATTAAAAAAAATCAATGCAAACATTTTCTTAATTGAGTCTTTTCAGATACCATTTTTTTTCCTATTTATTTTGCATAAAAACAATATTTGTGTGCATATACAACAACAAAGAGAAAGCAAATCTTTTCCCATCCAGTAGAAAGGAAACTCATTGTGGTTCTTTGGAAAATAACTTTTCTACCCCATAGATGATTGAGAAAATCAAATTTTATTTAAAAAATTTTTTAAAATAATATTCAAGATAATTAAAACAGTAATTCCCACAGAATGAATGAAAATTAATTTGCATGGAAAAAAGAAAGGAAACTCAAATGATTGTTGAGGAAACCATATGGGAAAATTTATCTTCATAAAAGATAAAATTTCTCCTCAACAGGCCTAGTGACCAATCAAAACACTGTTTACTATGGATATGTTTACGATCTTCATTGTGTAGATTCACAGACATAAATATTTTTCAAAATGTATTAAATTGTACACTTTAAATATATGTAGTTTATTATATTTCAATTTACCCTGAGAAAAACAAAAACAACTACCCAAGTCAAGAAATGCACAAAAACAACCAAGTGTCGTCCATCTTTAATTGAGAATGTATACCAGTTTTCAGACTAGTATTTGAAATTTAGAAGCTTTTGAAAAGTTGGAAGATTAAACATTGTCCAAATATGTACTTAAATATACTCCTGCAACTTGATTAAAATTTCATCATTAGATGAAATATAAAAAAATAACATTCTAAACTAAAACAACAACTTGTTGTTATGTGCCGTCGAGTCAGACCTGACTCATAGCGACTCCTCCTTGGGTTTCTGAGGCGGTGTCACTACAGAAGTAGATTGCCCAATCTTCCTTCCAAGGAGTGGCTGGTGGGTTTGAACCACCAACAACTTAAAAGCTTAATAGAAATAAAATTAATTTTTTGGGAAAAGCTGGTAGCATGAAAAGTGGTGGATGTTTGTGTGGAAGAAAGGTTGCTATTCCTAGGGACTAGCTGTCTAGCTGTCATTTGAAAAAGTGACAGGCTTGTAAGAAGAAAGAGGATAGATTATTTGTTCATCTATTCATTCCTTTATTCAACAAATATTTACTGAAGTCTTAACAGTGATAAGCTTTGAGAATCAACAATTAGCTAAAGAAATACCAGTGTTCTCTACCTTCATTGACTTAAAGCATCATGTCACCACAAAAATATATAATTATTTTGTGAAAAGTGACAAGGAAAAGAACCTTGACAGGAGTGACAGGGGAAGTTTCCCAAGAAAGTTGTTCTTTGAGCTGGGATGTGAGAATGTATCTCACGCTTAATTCTTTGAAAGGGGACCAAAAAAACCCCACTGTCATTGAGTCGATTTCAACTCATAGGGACCCCCATCGGGTTTCTGACGTGGTAAATCTTTATGGAAGTAGATTGCCCAGCCTTCCTTCCATGGAGTGCCTGGAGGGTTTGAACTGCCAACCTTCTGGTTAGCAGCCAAATACCTTAGGCACTGCACCACCAGAGCTCCTTTTGACAAGAGACCATATGTGCAGACATGGGGCAGAAAAACACATAGTTTTTCAGAACCTGAGGCAGAAAATAGTCATTGAAGAGATATTTATAAGCTAAAACCTATGCAAATTTATGTATTTGGAAGGAGAGATAAGTATCAAGAATGACATCAAGATTACTGCAGCATGCACCTGTATAAATATGTGTAGCATTCTCTGAGACAGGATACACTGGCAGGAGGCCAAACTAGGGAATAAGTGCCTTTATTCTGATTCTGTGGAACCTATGATTTTCAACTGAACATGCTGAATAAACAGCATAGTGGCTAAAGCACTTGACTGCTAACCAGAAGGCTGGTGGTTCAAACCCACCAGCCACTCCTCGGAAGGAAGGTTGGGCACTCCTACTTCCGTAGTGATACTGCCTCGGAAACCCAAGGAGGGGTCGATATGAGTTGGGGATGACTCGACGGCACATAACAACAACAACAACATAGATGGAGAGATAGATAGATGGACGGTTGGTTGGTGAATAGATAGACAAAACTAAAAACAGATAGAGAGATACATACATTTGTAAGGAAAACTGTGGGCTGAAAATATAAATTTGAGAATCATACAAAGCAACAATAATTTTATTACAATGTTTTATATTACATCTTCCTTTATCCTTAAATCCTAAGTTCTCAGTAACTCTTTGGAAGTATGAAGTTTTACCAGCTGATCTTCCTTAAGGCCTAAATTTGACATGAATCTGTTTTTATCTACCAAAGGACAATGACTGGATGATTTGTGAAGTAGCAACAGACATACAGTGTTTATAGCTATGCTACACAGCCACAGCAAAAATTTCTCTATTTGTCTATACAACTAATTTCAGCAAACATTAAAAGTGAAAAGTATAGATGGGGGGAGGAAACACTTTCTCAGCAAATATGCATGAGTCAGGAGAAAAATCCATTTTTTACACAATAATATAAATCCCTCTTGAACAATATTCTTCTGCATACCTTGTTTGCGAACATCCTCTACAGCAGCAACCAATTCTTCTTTGAGATCTTGGCTCTCCTTAGCAATCTGTTCACCCTTTTCCAGGAAGTTCTGAGTGGCCTGTTCTACAGAAGCAGCTAGTACATGGGCTTTCTTAGACCTCCCTTTCTTTTTACCGGATGGACCTTTGTTGCTTGTGTTCACAAGTGTCGTCACCTTAAACATTAAAAATAAAGAAAAGAAAAGACAAAAAGAAACTGTAAAAATATTCCACACAAATTTCTAGAAATATTATGCTATTATTTTATAATTTTTTAATATGGCCCAGCTCATGAACTCATGAGTGGATAACACATAACCTCATCTCAAGGAAAGTGTATTATATGGATTCACCTATGAATAAATAGCTGTTCAAACTTCATCTAGAGAAAAGAAAGAAAAAATGCTTATGTGTAAGTATGGAAGATAGAGTTGCCAATAGTTAGTTATAAGTTTCCAGATTATTAGAAGTTGTACATTTACAGATGACCAGGAAGAGTGTTCCTTGGAGTAGTCAGTCTAAGATGCAAGAAAAGAAAGGAAAATGTAAAACTTCTGACACTGAGTTAAACGAGATGCAGAATACTGGACTGGAACTTTCAACCCTTCCTTTAGCAATTGAGGAGCTCCAATGGCCTAGTCCCTAAAGCATCTGACTGCTAACCAGAAGGCTGGTGGTTCAAACCCACCGGCCACTCTTTGGAAGAAAGCTCGGGCAACCTACTTCTGTAGAGATACCGCCTCGGAAACCAAAGATGTCAGTGAGTTTTTTGGAAGGAAGATTGGGGAATTTCCTTCTGTAGTAATACTGCCTCAGAAACCCAAGGAGGGGTTGCTATGAGTTGGATCCGACTCAGTGGCAGTGGGTTTTTGGTTTTAGTAATTGAGCATGTTAACAATTTGTACCACTTAGGGATCCTCACCAATCATCTGCCAGTTTGTCCTACTGTGGTGGCTTGCATGTTACTATGAGGATAGAGGCTATGCCACGGGTATTTCAAACACCAGCCAGGTCACCCATAGTGCACAGGTTTCAGTGGACCTTCTACACTGAGACAGACTGAGAAGGATGGGGCCACATAATTCTGAAAATATTAGCCAATGAAAGCTTTATGAATAGCCATGAAACACTGTCTGATATACTAATGGAAAACATGAATAGCAGCAAAACATTGTCTGATATACTGCTGGAAGATGAGGCCCTCAAGTTGTAAGGCCCTCAAAATAATAAATATGACTGGGGAAGATCTACCTCCTCAAAGCAGAATCAACCTTCATGATGGGGATGAAGTAAAGCTTTTGAGATGTTCATTTGCTTATGTGGCATGACTCAAAATGGGAAGAAACAGCTGTAAACATTCATTAATTATCAGAACATGGAATGTACAAACCATGAATCTATGAAAATTAGAAGTAATAAAAAATGAAAGGGAAAGCATAACTATCAATACCCTAGGAACTGTTGTTAGGCACCATTGAGTCTGCTCTGACTCACAGCGACCCTACATACAACAGAATGAAACACTGTGTGGTCTTGTGCCAGCCTCATAATCCTTGCTATATCTGAGCCTATTGTTGCAACCACTGTATGAATCCATCTTATTGAATATTTTCCCTTTTTTTGCTGACCCTCCAGTTTACCAAGCATGATATCCTTCTGTAGGTAATGGTCCCTTCTGAAATTATGACCAAAGTAGGTGAGACAAAGTCTGGCCATTCTTGACTCCAAGGAGCATTCTAGCTACACTTATTCCAGGACAGATTGGTTCCTTTTTCTGGCAGTTCAGAACTGGGCAATCTACTTCTACAGAGATACTGCCTCAGAAACCCAAGGAGGGATGGCTATGGGTTGGAAGCAACTCAACAGCAGTGAGTTTGGTTTTATGGTTTGAAGATACTTTGAGTATCCTTCTCCAACACCACAACTCAAAAGCATCAATTCTTTTTCTGTCTTTCTTATTCACTGTCCAGCTTTCACATGCATATGAGGCTACTGAAAATACTATAGTCTGGGTTAGGCTCACCTTCCACTTCAAAGAGACATCTTTTCTCTTGAGCAGTTTGATTTCTTGACTGCTGCTTCCATTGGTGTCAATTATGGAATCAAGTAATATGAAATCTTTCACAACTTCAATCTTTTCTCCATTTATTGTGATGCTGCTTCATGGTCGAGTTGTGAGGATTTTCTTTTCTCTTTTTTTTTTTTTTTTATGCTGAGGTGTAATTCATATTGCAGACTGTAGTTTTTAATCTTCACTAGTAAGTGCTTCAAGTCATCTTTACTTTCAGCAAGCAAGACTGTGTCATCTGCATATTGCAGGTTGTTCATTCTGATGCTGAATTCTTCTTTATAAACAGCTTCTTGGATTATTTCCTAAGCATACATATTGAATAAGTATAGTGAAAGGATACAACCCTTATGCACAACATTCCTGATTTTAAACCAAGCAGTATCCCCTTCTTCTGTTCAAATGACAGCTTCCTGATCTATGTGCAGATGCCTCATGAGCTCTGGAATTTCCATTCTTCTCAATGGTCTACATAATTTTTTATCATCCACACAGTTGAACACTTTTGCATAATCAATAAAACCCAGCTAAATATCTTTCTGGCAGTTTTGCTTTCAGCCAAGATCTATCTCACATCAGCAGTGATATGCCTCATTCCACATTCTCTTCTGAATCCAGCTTGCATTTCTGGAAATTTCCTGTCAATATACCACTGCAACTGCTTTTGAATTCTCTTCAAGAAAATTTTACTTGTGTGTGTTATTAATGATGTTCGATAATTTCCACATTTTGTGGGATCACCTATCTTTGGAATGAGTACAAATACACATCTCTTCCAGTCAGTTGGCCAGGTAGCTGTCTTCCAAATCTCTTGGCATAGACAAATAAGTATGTCCAGCACAGGATTCATTAGTTGAAATATCTCAATAGGTATTCGGTCAATTCCTGGAGCCTTGTTCTTTGCCAATTCCTTCAGTGCAGCTTCAACTTCTTCCTTCAAAACCATTGGTTCTTGATCATATGCCAACTTCTGAAATGGATGAACATCCAGCAATTCTTTTCGGTACAGTGACTCTATGTATCCCTTCCATCTTCTTTTGATATTTCCTGTACCATTCAATATTTTGCCCATAGAATCTTTCAATATTGCAACTCAAGTCTTGATTTTTTTCTTCATTTCTTTCAGCTTGAAAAATGCCAAGTGTGCTCTTCCCTTTTGGTTTTCTAACTCCAGTTCTTTGCACATTTCATTATAATAATTGACTTTGTTTTCTGGAGCTGCTCTTTAAAATCTTCTGTTCAGCTCTTTTATCTTGCTATTTCTTCCATTTGCTTTAGCTACTCTCCATTTAGAGCAAGTTTCAGAGTCTCTTCTGACATCTATTTAGGTCTTCCTGTCCTTTCCTGACTTTTTAATGACCCTTTGCTTTCTTCATATATGACATTCTGGATGTCATCCCACAGTTCTTCTGGTTTCCAGTCATTGGTGTCTAATGCATCAATTCTCTTCTTCATGTGGTCTCTAAATTCAGGTGGTATGTAATCAAGGACATATTTTTACTTTCATGGACTTATTCTATTTGTCTTTTTGCTTCAACTTGAACTTGCATATAAGCAATTGATGGTCTGTTCCGCAGTCAGCTCCTGGCCTTATTTTGCCTGAAGATACTGAGCTTCTCCATCACCTCTTTCCACAGATGTAGTAGATCTGATTCCTATTTATTTCATCTGGTGAAGTCTGCATGAATAGCTCTCACTTATGTTGTTGAAAAAAGGTATTTGCAATGAACAAGTTGTTGGTCTTGCCAAATTCTATCATGCAATTTCTGGTGTAATTTCTGTCACAATGGCCATATTTCCCAAATACTGGTGATTCTTTGTTTCCAACTTTCACATTACAATCATCAGTAATAATCAATTCATCTTGATTGAATGTTTGGTCAATTTCAGATTGCAGAAGTAAGTAAAAATCTTCAGTTTCCTTGTATTTGGCTTTGGTGCATAAATTTGAAGATAGTAGTCTTGTCTTGTAGGTGTATGGATATTATTCTATCACTCACAGCACTGTAATCAGGATAGATCTTGAAATATTCTTTGTGATGATAAATGCTACACCATTCCTCTTCAATTTATCTTTTGCAGCATAGTAGATCATATAATTGTCTGATTCAAAATGGCACAAACCACTCCATTTCAGCTCATTAATGCCTAGGATATTGATCTTCATGCATTCCATTTCATTTCTCACAACTTCCAATTTTCCTAGGTTCATGTTTGTACATTACACATTCTGATTATTAATGGACATTCTCAGCTGTTTCTTCCCCTTTTGAGTACTGCCACATCAACAAATGGATCCCAAAAGCTTTACTACATCCAGGTTATTAAGATCAACTCTACTTTTAGGAGGCAGCTCTTCCCCAGCTGTATTGTGAGTGCATTCTGATCTCAGAGGCTCATCTTCTGGCTCTATATCAAACAATATTTCAGGGCTATTTATAAAGCTTGCCAGTATTATATAAGATAGTGTTTCACTGCTATTCAGAAGGCTTTCAATGGCCAACTCTTTCAGAAGTGGATGGCCCTTTCCTTCTTCCAACTCTAATTTAGTCCAGAACCTCTGCTGAAACCTGTCCACCATGAGTGACCCTGCTGGTGTTTGAAATACTGTTGTCATAGCCTCCAGCCTTACAACAACATGCAAGCCACTACAGCACAAAATAAACTGAAAGATGAGTGGTGGATCTTAGGTATTGGTGAGCTGAAATGGACCACCAACAGTCATTCTGAATCAGACAGTCATATAGTCTAGTATGCCAAGAAGGGCAAATTGAAGAGCAATAAGTTGCATTTATCATCAAAAAGAACATTTCAAGATCTATCTTGAAATACAATGCTGTCAGTGATAGGAAAATATCCATACTTGTACAAGGAAGACCAGTTCACATATGACTATTATTCAAATTTACATACCAACCACTAAAGCCAAAGATGAAGTAACTGAAGATTTTTACCAATTTTTGCACTCTGAAGTTCACCAAATATGCAATTAGTTGTACTGATTTTTACTGGTGATTGGAATATGAAAGCTGGAACCAAAGAAGAATTATTGGTAGTTGGAAAATATGGTCTTGGTGATAGAAATGATGCTGGAGATCACATGACAGA